AGGTACATACAACTGTCAAAAGTCACTGAACTAGACACTTTTTTTTTTTTTTTTTAGCTATAATCGACAGATCACATTATAAGTTTCAGGTGTACAACGTGATGATTTGCTATTCATATATACTGTGAAATGACCAACATAATACGTCTGGTTCCCATCTATCACTATACACTTTACACGGATGAGGTTTATGTAATTGAATACACAAGGTTGACAAGGAAAAAGTGAGAGCCTGAATATGGGCAGTAGGAGACAAGTTAGAAGAGGGACAGATTAAGAAATAGTTAAAACCGAAAAGTGCCAGGACTCAGTCCAGGAAGACAGACTCTGCACTCTGTCCCACGGACTGTACCTAAAGCAAACCCACAAAGAGCAGGCTCACTACTGCCTGGCTTTGTGCTCCCTAGAAGGCTGCTTGCTTCTGGGACTGAGCCTCCAGTTCCAGGGTTCTCCTGCTTTCAAACACCGCCCCCTGGTGTTCAGATGTGAAATGCAGCTCACGAGGCTGCATGCCTTCCAGGAACCAAGGACCTGGTACCGCACCTCTTGGCATTTTTTGGAAATTATGTCACAAATGTACAGCAGCCACCTCCTCCCCCAACTCCCTTGGGCCCAGGGGAGGGAGCGGCCGAGCCGTAGCACATGCACTAAACAAGAATGTATGTCCAATAAAATGCGGACATGGAGCCCCGGTGCCTGGAGCTGCCGCCCCGCTAGTACCCTGGAAAATTAATAATAGTCCCAGGAATGTGCAACGGACACGCTGAGAGGTTTACGTACCATACAACACACATTACGTGCAGGATGAACAAAACCAGAACATGAGACACCTTTCCTCTGACCTTTGAATTTCACTGTAAGTTCAGAATTTTCAGCAGAGAAAAATGGAATGGAATCAGTTCAGAGTTTCAGAAAGCTGATCGACCTTACGGAGGTATATACTTAAGATTTTATTTCAGTAACAGTTTATCGGAAATAGGGAATGGGATATTCCTTTTTCAGGAGGTGGGCAAATATAAATTGTTGGGAGAAAAAAAGAATGGGCATATTCTTGTATCAGGAAGATTTTGCATTGGTTGATGAAAATGCAGTCTGATGAGGCCAGGCTAGAGCAAACTTCTAGGGATCTGGTGGGGCTGGGGGGCTCAAAATCTGATGAGTAAGCATCAGTAAGTACCAATAATGGATTCAGAGACCAAAATGATCAACATTTTCTGTTTTTAAAAGGAAGGGAGGGAGGAGAAGGAGGAGGAAGAAATATGTATCAGTGACAACGAAAGGAGACCCTGGGGCCCAGACAACTGGAAGAACAGTAAACACAGATGGCATTTACAGTGAGCCACGTACTTTTTGAATCAATATTAACTAATCCTCGTAACAACTCTATAGAGAAGACACCATTTTAGAGAAGACTCCCTTTAACAGATGAGCAAACAGAGGCCCAGAGCACTTAAGTAACTTGCTCAAGATCCTATATGGCAGAGCTGAGAACTCAGGCAGCCTAGCTCCAGAGCCCACAATCAGGCCCTTAATAAAAGGTAGCTACTTTATTAATAAGATGGAATATAAGAGGTTACCAGATATGTCTCTCAAAACTTCGCAAGGATATTTGAAATACCACTTTTGGCATCATCTGGTTTAAAGCAGGCGATGGAAAGCTGTGGTATAAAAATGGTGTTAGAACAGGCCAAGAGCATAGAAATTCTAAGTGGCCAACAGAACCCTGTATTGTAGAGTGATGTAATTAAATTTGGAAAATGTCAGTGTGGCTTCATAATCTCAGAAAGACACATATTGCCCCCAATTCTGTCATGATTAAAATTGGCCTAAGTGTAGACACAGTGCTTTAGCCATGACCAGTTCCCATGCCCAGGTAGTTTTCAATATAGTTCACTACTAAAACGAACCAGACCTCCTTGGAGACAAGCCAATACCATATCTTGACACCGGACAAAAATGAGGATGGCAAGAATGAACCCAGCAGCATCAGGAGCCCTGCTATGCAGGCAAAGAAGTTGATGGACGAGAACTCTCCCCAGCTGAGTTGTGACAATTTGGGCATCAAAAAAAGGAGGAGGAGAAGTAAATTATTATTATGGAAACAAGGTGAGTCTGAGAAATGCCTTATGCTCAACAGTGTCTCTCAAAGGGAAAGTTAATAGAAAGTGTACACAAAGATAGTTTTAAGAGAAAAAAGGGTGACCGTAATAAGCTGTGTCACAATTTATATTGATTTTTAAAACTAGAAAGCATTCATATATAAGGTGATGTAGTTTCTTTTATAGAATATTTATTATATGTTTGTTTATAAAATTTCTGTGTCAAGTAAGAAAGAGTAACAAAATGAATTATAAGTCAGGTCATCCCAGGACGTTAGGGCCCACGGAAAGACTCCTTGGCGTTGGTAATCCTACAAGAACCAGGTGGAAAGGGGGGCAGAGATCCACTGCCATTAGTGGTTACATACAGTTAACGAGGAAGCAACAGTCAGCAGTGTGTTTGTACCATAATAAACTAGTCACGCAGCCTAAAGAGGAAAACCAAATACTCAAACTCAACCTCTCATCTCCTAGGAGATGAAATCTATCTACCTGGCCCAACAAAGTAGGGTAAAATATTAATAAGGAATACATAAGTTCTTAATAGTTCTGAAAACTAGGTCAGTGCATCACGATGATAAGGGGTCCTGACTCTGAATCACCTTGAAGTCACCTCATCCTGAGTGCACCCCCGTCCCCCCAAGAATCAGCACCCTCTGACTTTAGCTACTCAGAAAAGTTATTCTGTCTCTTTTGGATCTGAAAGATCCCTGCACCTGTCTGGAAAGTGTTACAATGATGTTAACTCTAAGAACACATTGAAATAAGTAAAACAGCCCTGGGAAGATATAAAAAATAAGAACAGAAACAATGAAGAAATAAACTCTAACCACCGGACTGCAACTGGCTCTGAGGGCAGGCCACAGCTGCCTGCATCCCCCAGGAGCAGGCCTCCACCAATGGCAGGAAGGGAGTTCGTGGACCAAGGCCCAGCTCTCTGACCTTTAGGTAAGGACAACTCAGAGGCCAGTGTGTAGCGTCTCCAGGAGACCCCCCGATGGGAGTGGGCTGCGGCTGCCCACGGTGGGCAAGACACCATCCTCTCCCTGACTCATCCCCCCACGCCTCCTCTGACGGGGCTTCCTGGGATCACACACCAAATCTATGTGGACTAATATCCACATCTCAGGGTCTGGACAAGAGGGGCTTAAGAACTCGAGCATTAAACAAAGCCCCCACGTGTGTAGTGCTGTTCTCTAGGCACAGGATCCCCTGCACTTTCATAATCTACCATCAGGAGAGCTGGCTTGAGGGGCACGGTGGGGGGGTGGGGGGGAAGGGCCGGTGGGCACTGCCTCTCCTGTCACCACCCCCTCACCTCTCTGGACTCACGGGCTCCCACCAGGACACTCCCTGTCAGATCTCACTGGGGAAGAAGGTGTGATTCCTCCCACAGGGAGCTGTGATTTGGGAGGAAGTTCTTAGAAACGTCCATTCGTAAGGCTGGAGCTGCACCTAGGGACTGTGGAGAGGAAGGCGGGAGGGGGACAGGGCAAGTGCCCATTCACTCAGCCGTCCCGACGCGGGGGCTCTTGAGCCTGGATCTACCCCCAGGTCCCTGTGGTCCACGTCTTTTATAGGCAGCTCCCCAAACAAAGAGTACGTGAAAACGCAGTTCGTCCTTCCCACAATCACAGTGGTTAAGAGTTCAGGCTTTGAATTCAGGCTTACCCATTTCTACTGTCACCTTGGGCAGGCTTCTTCATGCCCCTGAACCTCAGTCTGCCCGTCTATAAAATGGGAGAAAGACAATCTAATTCCTAGGACATTAACTTAAGAGGTTAAGAAACATGCCAGGCACATTCTCTGCACTCTCACTGCCTGGTCACACACATGCAGGTGCAGCTACCGTCTCGTTTTATAAGTCTAAGAAAGCTCCCCAGCATCACCCAGCTAATAAGAGGCAGACCTAGGGTTCAAACTTGGGCAAGTCTGATTCCGCTCTTAGCCTCCACATTACACAAAGGATGTGGAAAGGAGTTAACAGCGCCCAGCAACACAACACCAGGTGCTTCACCAATGTCGCCTCTGTCCTGTCTCCGTCCTTCATCTTTGTCTCCTGGGCTGTCTCCTTCGGGGGAAGAACTATGTTGAGGGGCACAGACAAGAGAGATTCATGAGGCTCAAAAGGAAGAGGCTCAATGCCAAGCTCTTAATAAAGAGACTCCAGAGCGAATAGATTTTGGCTTCTCCTTCCATTAATACCTAAGCTCTTAAGGTTCTTCCAACTCCATAATTTCCTTTTCTGGAACCTACACCAAACCTTCAAAATGACTTTCAAAAAAGCCAGAAAGTCAGGAAGACTAAATATCCTCAAAGTTTCAGGTGAAATTAAGTCACCTCTAAACCTTTTGACTCAGTGTCACACACAGCAGTGGATTTGGAACCCATCTCTCAGCTTTGGCTCCAGCGTTAACCAAGCTGGGTGATCGTGAGCAAAACCACCTGCCTTCTCTGGGCCGCCTTTTATTTATTTTTTTTTCCTGAGCCTCCTTTTGAAACATTTGTTAATATAAAGTAATGATCCTTGTCTTGCCTTTCCTAAAGTTGCTGAGAGAACCATGTGAGGAATGTCCATGAAAATACCTCACAAGTTATAAAGCCCTACATACATGTGGGAAATTATCAGTGTTATTTAACAGCTTATCAGACTTGCTAGGAAAATTCTTGAACAAGAAAAATGAGAGCCAAAAAGCAGAGGTGGGCAGCAGTCTGAGATGAGGAGAGTCAGGTGGTAAAGAAAAACTAGCTGTCAGAATCTCATTTTCAGTGTTGGCAGTTAACCTTCAATCAATTTTATAAGGCCAGAAATAGCCATATTTTTAATTAAGTGTCGGTGGTAGGCTCAGCAACATAAAATTTAATGATAGAGAAGACACCAACTTAAACACAGCCTCTTACCTCTCCTTCTAAGAAAGAGATCTTTTCTAAAAGCTGCAATATTAAGAGCTGTTTCTGCTGCATCTTTTTCTTTAATGATTCAATCTAGAAAGAAATAAATTAAAAATTGTTAATAAAAACAATAAAGAATTGTAGAAGTACAAGTTAATCAACCGGAAGAGATGCCTTTGGTTTTCATCTAAATAGAACCCTCACTTTGGTTCTCTGTGTCTCATGGAACAGTGTTTAACACAAGTTGCTCCCCGGAATAGAGGGTTCTGCAGCCACATGATTTTGGAGTCACATCTCATTAGGTTTGTTTGACACACTGATTTTGCTGTGTAACCCTTTTTAACATCCCATATATGTGCCAGAGAGCATGCTCTGGGAGATGCAGATGCAACTCTACAAAAGATAATTATTCAGCGTAAATTTGTGAGGCAGCCCACATTTCAAACATTCAGCGCTGTTATTCCTGCTAATAGATTCATATTTGTTCAACCAGGTGTCAAAAGTTTTGGTCTGGGAAAAGGGTCACTGTCACTAAAAGTGCAAATGGAATTGAGAGGATCCAGGACTCACGTGGCCCGGGATAAAGAGACTTGAGCTGGGTGTTCACCTTTGTTTTTACAACATGGTCTATCTTCAGCTACTCTAACTCTACTTTTCATTCATGTCAAGTTCCACAGACAAACCATAGATGCCCTAAAAGCAGGAACCAGGGTGCTCTATTCCAGGCTACCTTGTAGACGATAGACAATCCTGGGAACAGTGTGCGGGTTCAGTCAATAACTGGTGATTTTGAAGAACACACTAATTTTCCAACAATCTGGTATATTCAATTTGTGCATTTGCAAAATCTTTTCGAAAAATCCTTCTCAGTGCAAAATGACACATAATCCCCCTTTTAGAAGTGAATCTGGAAGGAGCTAGGATAAGACAAAAGTACAACCGCATTGCCCTTTGACCCAGCAATCCCATTCCTAGAAATAGATCCCCAAAGACACATTGGCTAAAATATAAAATGACTTGGACAAAGGATTTTTAGTTTTTAGAAGACACAAAGGAAACAACTCCATCAATCAGTAAGTGGCTAGTTAAATAAACCATGGTTCACCATGACAGTGGACGGCTACAAAGATCTCTAGAACAGATATGGTGTATTGTAAGGAATATACAGTATGAAAGCTTTAGCGTAAAACAGATGAGGCCATCTGAATGCATATATATTTGCAAGAAGAAATTCTGCAAAGATAAAAGAAACCTTAATTATTAAGAAATACTTGCCAATAGGGAAAGAAGGAAATTAGAGGAGGCAGAAGAAAAGATTTTTTTATAATACCTTCTTACCTACATTTAATTTTGAAAGCACATTTTACAGATTCAAGAAATAAAACTAAACCAAAAAGAAAAAAAAAGTGAATCTGAAAACTTGAAAACAAATCGAAATAAAGGAACTTAACTGTATATCCAGTTGGTGAAAAGAACTCAAATGTTGTTTGAACAAGCTAATTTGATTCTGTTTTTAGTGGACTGTATTGTAAAAATAAACAGAACCGCAAAGAAGTCTCTTATTCACTAGGAAAACTGTTGGTAATGATATTGTGTTGTTGTTTTGAAACTATTTGAGATATTGCAGTATAATAATGTTTGGAACCAAGGTTTTAGTGTAAGAGAAAGAAATACAAGTGTAAAATCAAAGAAAGTTTTGTTAAATTTGAAATGAAAATACCAGTATGAATTCATAATTAATATTTTATTTTCATTTGTTAAGTATGCATTTCCTAACTCTGTCTACTGAGGAAACTTAGATATAATAACAACAATAAGCACATAACATATCCAGATTGTGGCATCTAAATACCAACCCTCACCAACAAAACACAGGTCATCTTGGAGGAACAACTCATTTCAAGGGGTAAAAATATGCTAGGGGAACCCAAGACACCTTGTGATGCCTGAAAACAAATACTTGAAGGGTCTCCCTTGGGCCAAGGATTGTGACAATGTTAGCATCAAAAAGAATAACGAATGTAATTGAGTCAAACACATGGAATAAATATGTTTTTAAAACCCCGAGTATGTTATGATTCTTCAAAAACTGAAACCAACAGCAACACCATTGGGAGTGACTAGGGAACCAGTTCCTTACTTAGAAACTTGGCAACTTAGAGGCAGAAGAAAGCATGTAGCCTGCCTTTCTTGTTCAAACTGCATTTTGAGATTACTAAGAAGTCCTAGTTAATGAGGGAAGAAGTTTTATTTTTCAGAAGAATGCCAGTGAATAATGGGGAAAGAATGACGAATTTAGAAAATCACCATTGTGCAATCCCTAGGAAATAACTGGCTCATTATATAAGATGAATTAAAAGATGAACCAGTCAGGGGCACATTAAGGAGGAACTTTACAACTGTGTTTTGGGGTGACCCCATCTGAATCCGTGATTGGCCTCAGCATCATCCAAGGCAATCAGACATGAGTGCCGCTGAAGACAGAGTAAATCGCACAGCCCCAGGAAGTATTCTTGCTTCCCCCCCCGCCGCCAAGAAAGGTAAAACTGAATCTCACCAGGCTGCTAGAGCTAATAAAAAGTCAAATCCCAAACGTGGGAACACTTATAGGACAACTGACTCAGTTCCTGCAATGTCACTGGGTGTGGGAACCTCGGCAGGGGAGGAGGGTACACAGGGAGAAGCGTGTTCTAGATTAAAAGACTCTAGAAACATCACCACCAAACAAACGGACCTTCTCTGTATACTGACTGAAACAAAGCTTCAGTAAAAAGGCCATTTTAAAGACATTTCAGAAAATTTTAGGACAGGTGGGTATTACATGATACCAAGGAATTATCATTAATTTTGTTCAGTGTGACAATGGCATTATGAGTATATAAGAAAAAGTCCATATGTTTTCGAGATGGATAGTGAAGTGTATAGGAAGCATAAGCAGGATGGCTGGGATTTGCTTTAAAATTACTACACGAAGGGGAAAAAGAGGAAAAGAAGGGGCAAATAGAGCCAAGTTCTGCTGTTTGTTGAATCTGGTCATGAGTCTGGGGGCTTCATCGATTAGTGTCTGTCCTGAGTGCATCTGACATTTTCATGATCAAATATTTCAAATTCCACCCAGTGCCAAAAAATATAATCCTCCCACATAAAAAGTAAGCCATACAAAACAATATAATAAGAAACACATTTAAGAAAAACTGTCCAATGTTGATAATAATTAAAGAAATTATAATTAAAAACAGTAACAAGTTACCCTTTAATAACGATTAACTGTACCCAAAACTACCGGCTGCAGAAATCAGTGTTGAAAGAGCTGGGAGAGGCAGCCTGCCTCGTGTGTTGCAGGTGCCATTGTAAATTAGAATGACCCTTTGGGCAATTTAGTAATAAATATTAAGAGCCATAAAGCTGTTCATACCCTTTGACCCACTAATCCCACTCCTGGGAATTTATCCTAAGGATATAATTCAGACATAGGAAAAAAAGCTATATATACAAAGATGTTCTTGCTCCTATTATTTATAATAGAAACTGGAAATAACCTTACTGTCTAGCAGGAAAGCACTGGGTAGTACATTATGGAATAGCAATTTGATGGAATATATGACACAGATACTACAAACAAATATACTGTAAAATGTAAAAATGTTTGCAGAAAGCCTTAGGGATAAAAATAAAAAACAAAGCTTACAATGAACAAAGGTAAGAGCTGGATGTTAGATAAACGAAATCGTACTGAGGTTAGAGTAGGATTATGGGCAAAAGGAAAGTTTCTTTTTCTTTAAATTTCCTTCGATATTTGTAAGAATAGTTTTCAAAAATCATCCTTACAGTGTTCCTCTTTCATTCCTTCCTACAGTATTGTTTTAAAAATTGACTTGAATTCTTTAAATGAGAGGCAAGATGGGTACTGAAATTAGCTACAGTGTTCCAAGGAGGTCTATGTAAATTTCATCAACTAACATAAAAAGAGACTTTGAATACACTTGCTTCACTCTCTCTGAAGTAATCGGAATGGTGGGTGAGTCCAGGGAAGCAAGAGATATGGTTGAGGGGCATCCTAATGAAGAGTTCACAGGAAGATACTGAGGATTTTCATTTTAAAAAGGAGTAGATACAAGGCAGAGGTGTCACCTGGAGGATGCAGAGAGAGGGGAAATCTGGGAGTTCTAAGAGGACAGAGGGCTGATGCTGGAGCAAATAGGCCCCACCTTCTGGGGAGATAGAATGGCTCTGGGAAGGACTTGGGGGTGCTGAAGCTTCTGCCAACAAGTGTCACCTTTCAGCAACTGAAGCTTCAAGAAGCGCTCGTGCTCTTGCACTAAGTGAATGCTGTGCCCATGCATTTGCTTTCATCCTTGAGCATTCCTTATGGAAGCTTCTTCAACAGGGGTTGACTTGTTCAGATTAGAGAAAAAAGGACACCAAGGATGGCAGGTAGTGCATGCCTTGGCCCTCCTGCCCTACAAGGGGTGCCAACTTGGAATCCCAACTCAGGACTGCCCCGGGAGCACAACCCACCTGTCCTCCTATGAGACACCCATCATGAGGCACAATCTCTAAATCCCACATTTGAGTGGTAAGTGATGTTATTTCTGACTGCCAACTTCAAAGTGCTTTCAAATATTGTCTCCTATAGAGCCCAGCACAGGACAAACACTCAAAACCTAGCTACTACCCTGTTATCACTGGTATTCCTCCCCCCCCCCACCCCCAGACTATGAGCTTCTTGAGAGTAAAGACCTTGGTTATCTTTCAACTCTAATGAATGAATGAATAATGACTCCATCCATCTATCTCGCAACAGTCTATCCCTTAGACTCCAGGGGCAAAATTGTCTAGAACAGACTCTTGGAGGCCCTGATGAACCAAGGTGGATGTAGCCCCAAAAGCACCCCCAAAATCAGGGGCCACTCCAAAATCCAGGGTACCATGCAGATGGCATGCAACCTTTGCTCTTTTCCGTACATTCAAGTTTGTAAATTTGACCTTGAAGAGCCTTGTGTCTTCTTCATGAAGCTGCATTTAGGTCTAGCTGTCACCAGGTGGTGGTAAATGACCCAAGCGCCCAGGCTCAAATCAGGGCATAAAGAAAT